ATTACGAATGGGATGGCGACGACGCGTGCGTTCCATTTTTATTTTAGTTCCTTGGCATGATTCACATCGGGGTTCATTGTTCGACAGTGGGCGAGCTGACTCTGATCATTTCGCCTGCCCCGTAGGGTGGACGAATCGACCGTCGTGCCCGCCCAGGGTTGAAAGGGGCTCGGGGCACGGTGGCACCCTCGCCCCCTCGGTGTTTCGTTAATGCGTCTGCGGGTCGTCCGTCGAGCTGGGTTTCGACAATGATCCTTCCATAAGTTCACCTACAGAAACCTTTTTACGACTTCTCCTTCCTCTAAATGATAAGGTTCAGTAGACTTCTCACGACATCGCGGGCGACGAACCGTCCATGTCGTTGCCATCTGAACACTCCACTGGACCATTCAATCAGTAGGAGCGACGAGCGGTGTGTACAAAGGGCAGGGACGTAGTCAACGCGAGCTGATGACTCGCACTTACTAGGAATTCCTTGTTGAAGACCAACAATTGCAATGACTTATCCCCAGCATGATGAAATTTTAAAGATTACCCGGGCCTGTCGGCCAAGGCTATAGACTCGTTGAATACATCAGTGTAGTGCACGTGCGGCCCAGAACATATAAGGGCATCACAGACCTGTTATTGCCTCAAACTTCCTTGGCCTAAGTGGCCATAGTCCCTCTAAGAAGCTAGCCATGAAGGATCACCTCCGCGTAGCTAGTTAGCAGGCTGAGGTCTCGTTCGTTAACGGAATTAGCCAGACAAATCGCTCCACCAACTAAGAATGGCCATGCACCACCACCCATAGATTCAAGAAAGAGCTCTCAGTCTGTCAATCCTTACTATGTCTGGACCTAGTAAGTTTCCCCGTGTTTAGTCAAATTAAGCCATAGGCTCTACTCCTGGTGGTGCCCTTCCGTCAATTCCTTTAAGTTTCAGCCTTGAAACCATACTCCCCTCGGAACCCAAAGACTTTGATTTCTCATAAGGTGCCAACTGAGTCCTAAAAGTAACATCCATCGATCCTTGGTTGGCATCATTTATGGTTGAGACTAGGATGGTATCTGATCGGGTTCGAGCCCCCAACTTTCATTCTTGATTAATGAAAACATCCTTGGCCTACTTTGATGTTATTCCATGCTAATGTATACAAGCGTAGGCCTATTTTGAGCACTCTAATTTCTTCAAAGTAACAGCGCCTGAGGAACGACCCAGGCAATTAAGTCCAAGAGTACATCACCGGTAGTAGGGATGAGTAGATCGATGATCACCGTGAGACGAATCGGATGACCCAACCCTAGTTCTAACTACGAGCTTTTTAATTGCAACAACATAAATATACACTATTAGAGCTAGAATTACCGTGACTGCTGGCACCAGACTTGCCCTCAATGGATCCTCGTTAAGGGATTTAGATTGTACTCATTCCAATTACCAGACTCATAGAGCTCGATATTGTTATTTATTGTCACTACCTTCCCATGTCAGGATTGGGTAATTTGCGCGCCTGCTGCCTTCCTTAGTTATGGTAGCCATTTCTCAGGCTCCCTCTCCAGAATCGAACCCTAATTCTGCATCACCCGTCACCACCATAGTAGGCCACTATCCTACCATCAAAAGTTGATAGGGCAAAAAATTTAAATGATGCGTCACCGGTATAAAGGCCGTGCGATCCGTCGAGTTATCATGAATCATCAGAGCAACGGGTATAGCCCGTGTTGACCTTTTATCTAATAAATGAATCCCTTCTAGAAGTTAGGGTTTGTTGCACGTATTAGCTCTAGAATTACTATGGTTATCTGAGTAGTAGATACCATCAAACAAACTATAATTGATTTAATGAGCCATTCACAGTTTCATAGTCTAAATTACTGCATACTTACACATGCATGGCTTAATCTTTGAGACAAGCATATGACTACTGGTAGGATCAATCAGGTAGCATTCCTTTGGGATGTTGGCATCGCATGGGCCTCGACGCACTGACTGAGTGATCGAGAAAGCCTAACATGAAGTGCAAGCGTCGTGCGTGTCGAGCACATGAAATACGTAGCATTGAACAAACGGGGGTCGAGAGCCCGCGCCCACTAAACATTCCGGATCCAAGAGCATGATCGAACATCGATGCACCAATACGGCCATGAAGGATTGGATGGCACGCTTGGGACACCGACCATGATTGATGTCTGACTCGTGGCCCCTAGGGACATGAGACGGATGAGGGATGGTGGGACATCTGATTTCCATCGATTCAGGTATGCAGCATAGGATCCCGATCGTGCCCCTGAGGTATGACGACCGCGTGGGGGGAGATTGAAGAGGATGATGGGTCAATACTTTGATGCATCGAGCACGCAACTGGCCAACACGCACAACCATAGCATCACTCATATGCCCATTACGTACAAGTGGCAGAATCCACGTACACCGGTCCACAACCCACCCGATCAATTACTCGAGAGTGAGCGGAGGAAACGACATGCGAGGCCACGCCACAACCTCTTGGCATGAGAAAAACACAAGCAAGGGCCACGAGACTACCCCTGCCATCCGACAAGCAACAACGGTGTGATACCACTAATGCTTGGCCTAGCCGGGATCGCAGGCGCGAGCTTCACTGACACCACCCCAAGAGGACGTTGCCCGATTCAGGGACTTGTTCCTCGGGTCTCGAGCAACATCGACTGTGTGCACAACCTCGTCGAGGCCAAGGCATTTTTATGGTCGACGAGAAGGAACCATGAGATCATCAAATATCGAGAGATTTAGTTGGGCCAAGCCCACAACCGTAGCTTCTGCTCGCACCACCCTAGGAAGCCATTGCTTAATTCAGGGACTTGGTTTGGGGTCTAGGGTAGCATCCGTCGAGTGCACGGGCTCGAGCTCGACTCCCTTTTTTCATATACACACCAACCGATTGAGGTTATGCACGCCTGCTGGTCACCGAAGCAACCAGCCACCGAACAAAATGGCCGAAAGGCATGCACGCCCTGTATTTTTGCTCAAGGGATGTTGCCCTGGGTGTACATAATGGGAGGCCCATCACTCACAACTATTCCCCCCAAGGAGAGGGGAGAGCGGGTGATAGACCAACACCCCCTAAAGAGCATTGAGATTTTATAGATATGCTACCAGTAGATGTTAAAAAGTCTAAAACGGGGACATTTTTTCGAAGCAAGCATATCCCGCACCGAGGGTGAGCAGGTGTCGATGGTGGTCGAAGCATGTGACCGCACCAAGGGCCAGCGCGTACCGATGGTGTTCAATGCGACCACCCACACCAAGGGCCAGCATATACCGATGGTGGTCGAAGGAAGAGCCCGTACCTAGGGCCAGCTTGTGTCGATGGTGTTCGACTCAACCACCCACACTAGGAGCCATCTTTTACCGGTAGTGGTCGAGGCAAGAGCCCGTACTGAGGGTTGACTTGTGCCGATGGTGCTCAAGGCAATCGCCCTTATCAAGATGTGCGTAAACCCACCTACCACCCGATCATGGCACGCATTGGTGCTCGGCCCGGGCTCAGGACACTCGCATGTGGTGCGCGGGCGTTGGGGAGGGCTCATATGAATTCATGGGCCATAAAAATGGCTTAGGCATATGGAGTTCATTCCTAGTCTAAGATCGAACTGGATCGAGGGTGTCCGAGGTAGCAAGATCGACAGCATGCAGAGGGGGATCGAGCCAATCCTCGGCTTACGCATCCTGCCTCTCTGGCTGGCGTAGTGCCCGTCTGCTCATTTTGTAGGTTGACTTTGGCATACAGAGTTCATTCCCAGTCTAAGATCAGATCGGACCGAGGGTTATGGCAGTAAGACCCGCAGCAGGATTGACAGCACGTAGAGGGAGACCAGATCGATCCTCGGCTTATGCATTCAGCCTCTCTGGCCTGCTCAGTGCTCGCATGCCCGTTTCATGGGTCGACTTAAGCATAGGGAGTTCATTCCCAGTCTAAGCATACGGAGTTCATTTCGGTTTAAGATTGGACCAGACCGAGGGTGTTCAAGGTAGCAGGATCGGTAACACGCAGAGAGGGACTGGGTCGATCCTCAGCTTGCGTATGATGCCTCTCTGGTCGGCTTAGCGCCCACACGCTCATTTCATGGGTTGACTTAGGCATACGGAGTTCATTCCCAGTCTAAACCCTAGTCGGATCAAGGGACCTGCAGTGGGATACGCAGTACATAGAGGGGGACCGGGTCGATCCTTGACTTATGTATTCTACCTTTTCGGTAGGTTGGGTGCCCACACGCTCATTTTGTGGGTTGACTTAGGCATACGTAGTGCGTTCCTAGTCTTGACCAACCAAGGGCCAGACACTGTCGAGGGCGTTTGGGGCAACAACCAAGGGGGACCTGCAGCGAGATCCTTGGTTCGTGCATCCCGTCCCAACGGTCAGTTCAATGCCCGTACGCTTATTTTGTGGGCTGACTGGGGTGAACGAAGTTCATTCTCGATCGGGACGGAGGGGCGGAGGGCCTCGGGTCATGCCCAACCCTGGAGGGGGTGGCGTGAAAAGAAGGAAGGTCGGCGGGGGAAGGGGGGAGGGATGAATCGAAGTGACAAAGGGCTAAATCTCAGTGGATCGTGGTAGCAAGGCCACTCTGCCACTTACAATACCCATCGCATATGGTGAATTTTGCTTCACAATGATAAGAAGAGCCAACATCGAAGGATCAAAAAGCAACGTCGCTATGAACGCTTGGCTGCCACTAGCCAGTTATCCCTATGGTAACTTTTCTAACACCTCTAGCTTTAAATTCGAAAGGTCTAAAGGATCGATAGGCCATGCTTTCATGGTTCGAATTCGTACTGGAAATCAGAATCAAATGAGCTTTTACCCTTTTATTCCACACGTGCATTCTCTTTTAACAGATGTGTTGTCCCAGCCAAATTTCCCACCTAACAATGTCTTTCGCCCGGATCGACTAGTCGAGGCTGACCTTGGGTCCAAAAGAAGGGGTCGTGCCCCATCTCTGATTCACGAAATAAGTAAATAACGTTAAAAATAGTGG